AAGAGGAAGGCAAAGCTAAAAATGCAAGGTGGACACTTGTTCATTCAAGTCTTGTACACATGGGTGTGGATTTAATTCTGACAGAGCATGAGTCAAGCAACTAGGCCTTATGATTTTTAGTTTGAAGCTCCAAGGTGGATCAAACCGAGAAGCAAGTTCCTAGCACACACACACTGATCTTTCCAAAAGCTATGAAGTCTTGAGAAGATGAAGTCAACAAGGAATACTGAAGTTGAAGTAAGGATGATGGCTGAAGAATCAACAATCAACTGCACAATGTTGTAGCAATGCTGCTGCAATCTGGAGAGTCTCAACAACAGTCTTTGATACAGAAGTTACTGAGCTGATGAATGTTAAGCCCGATGAGTGTTTTGTTGCTCAAGGACGAACAACGTTTTGAGTTTAGAGTGTGATAACTCTCCAAAAGAGAGTTATTTTGGGCTTAATTATGATGTTTTGGTACTATGATTACATATAATTCTCTTGATTTTATATGATTAATGCATGAATTCTATGATTTCATGATTTAATTGAGAATTATGTTAATTATGAGTATTTGGATATAAATTGAGGTATTGGAAACATTTAAATGCATTTGTTATTTTACTGCAGGACAATGTTGTAGCATCGGGAAGCAGTGTTGTAGCAATGCAGATGAGGTCAGCAGTGCATAGTGTTAACATCATCACCAGCAAGTCATGGATCCATGCCCAATTTGATGGAAGAATCTTCTGAACATGTAATCAAAGACCTGATCTGGATACGCGCTCAAAAACGTCAAGAAATCACAAGCTAATCTTCATCAAATCAATGATTATTACAAATCGATTCAAATCTGAATTGCAAATCTGGAAAGAATCTGATGAGATATGCAACAACATACTCTATCAGCATAACAACAAAACAGAGTCCTAATCTCATTCCATCACAAGGCAGATTTGAGTGACGATTTGCATGGACAAGAAGAGCTGATTGAAGCCCAGAACACCAAACGTAATATTAAGTTTCCCTAGAATGCTTTCCCAGGTATTCTAATGCTTTCATTATTCTTATCTTTATAATTATTTTTTTTCATATCCATTTTTTTTTGGGGTAAAGAAACACCTCCTTCCTTTGCACCAAAAATCTACTTTTAGGAGAGTGATCGATTTGGAGATCAGACCGACATCCCATGTCCTTTTGTGGAAATAGTTACCATCTTATGAAGAGATAGAGAGATGGAGAAGTCATAAGTGCATTTAGGGGGTGTTTGGTATAAAGATTTTGATAGAATCCTTGGGAAAGTGGGTTGGGGAAAAAATGTGTACCATGTTTGGTACGAGATATATTGAATTATACCAGTGTAAAATGTCTCCCACGAAAAAAAAAATCAACTACACATTGACAAATTTAAATGCAATTTGAACTGTGGTATTTATTTTATTTGAGAACCGAGAATCTTGCTTATAAAATTTGTGGCAAAAATGCCCTGAATAGATTGGTGTTTATAAAATTTGTGGACAAAAACACGTTATCGTCATCCAAATAGATCTGCTTCTTCGTCTCCGTCTGGTCCGTCTTCGTTTCTTTGCCTGGTATGCACTTTGAAGTGTGGTTTCCGAGTTCAACCTGATTTTGTCTCAACAATGTTTGTTCATAACCCTGTTTATGTACTTTATTTGACATTTATCAGCCATCAGCCAAGTTGAAGAGCATCTTCCGAGTACAACCACCTCCAGGAGCATCTTCGAGCTTCACACCTGAACATGGCGATACCGTTGTGCTTCTTCTGAGGTACCAAGTCTTTGATTTGTTGCATTCTTACTTTGTCTCAAGTTCATTCTGTTTATGGTAGGATTGAGTTAGGTTGGGTTAGTCGTGTTCATCTTCAAAAAATGCCACTACATTCATTCGTCAATAAACACTTCTCATCCTGCACACACAAAATCTATTGTCAACCTTTGTTTTTTTTTTTTTTTGAAACTCTCATGGGGCCCATTCTTTTTTCATTAGTGCAGGAAAAATATTTCTGTTTCCTATAACATAATAAATATATTCCTCAAATTTGTAATTTAGCTTTACTAAGTATTACTCTGGTTTATGGGGGTGTTGTGGCTGAATATATTTCAAATTCTTAATTGTACGTTTATAATTTGTTTGGGATAAAAATAATCATGTCATATTCTCAGTAATATTTTTTTCTCGATAAAAAAAATAGAGTAAACACCCTTTTTAGTCCCTGACAATATCTACGAAGTTCTTTTTAGTCCCTAGCAATAAAAAAGGACCAAATTGGTCCCTGAAAGTACAAGAAAAGGGCCACTCTACATATTTGGGAGTTGACATAAGGACTAATATGGCCCTTTTTTTTGTAATTTCAGGGACCAATTTGGTCCTTTTTTATTGCGAAGGACTAAAAAGGACTTCGTAGATATTGACAGAGACTAAAAAGGATGTTTACTCAAAAAAATATCTCTCGTATCAAACACCCCAAGGTCAAGGACTATGCTGGCCTTAAGGGTAATTCCAACCTTTTACTCTTCCAAAGACCTAAAACATAATTGCAAGAAAAATTCCAAAGCTATGATCAAAAGAGTCAATCTGAAAGTTTATAAGACTAATCCATGTAAAGATTTTTAATATGAATAATCTATAACGTAACAGATTCATAATTTTATAGTATCATGCACATGACAAATGTATAATTGTGTAACTTAAGCTGGCTCACTAAGAAATAAGGCTAATGACCTGTGAAAGTTCAAATTTAACTCATTTTAACAAATGAATTAAAAAATTTAATTTATTAAATTATTAATGAAACGAACTGTAACTTTATGAGTTAGTTTCACTTATTGTCATCCATAAATAAAATACATTTTACTTTCTTCAAAAAGGGAATTCTTTTTTTGTACCGAAAAAACAGAGACACTTTCAACTTCTTAATTTTGTTTCTAATCACATATCGCTCTCAAGTTTTATTTTAAATAAAATTATTATTATTTTTTAAATAAACCAAACAAAGCACATGGAAGTCATATTATTAATCTCCAGAATTCATTTAAATCTCCAGAAAATTAATTAAATAGAAAATTAACCTATTATGACCTGTATTTTGGGCCTGTGATGTGGCCCAATTGTCAGTAAACCCAACACAAAACCCTAAATCCTAAATTTATAAAGTGTCCATCCTTTTTGTATGATATTTTTTCATTTGCAAACTCCGTTCCTCTTCCTTATAATTTAAATATTAGAGTACTTTTAGATACATTGTTATGTGCTATGATGCACTGACACGGACACGGGACACGGGACACGGGATACGACACGACACGCCGATACGTTAATTCTAAAAAATGTCATATTTGGATGCGTTGGGACACGTTTTGATATTAAATAAAATTTTTGATATATATAATATAATTTATATTTGATACATATAAGAGTCCATAATAGGTCATATAACCAATCAAATATTTAAATTTCATAACATAAATATAAATATAAATAATTTTTCGTACTTTGTTAATTTTTCAGGTCAAATTTCATAACAGAAAAAAATTAATTTATAAATTATTTCTTTTATATTTAGTTAACAAAATAAAATTTAAGATTAAAAAAAAAAACGTGTCCGAGCTTTGACCGCGTGTCCGAAAAAGTTGATTGCGTGTAGGAAAAACGTGTCGCAGAGTTGACCGCGTGTTCTCAAATGTTGACTGCGTGTCAAATGCGTGTCCGAGCGTGTCGGAACGTATCCGTGTCGGACACATGTCCAACACGCAAATTTTTAGAAAATCAGCGTGTCCGTGCTACGTAGGTTATGCACATTGGGATTCGGGACACATATAAGAAGACTTTTCAAGGGACATTGACCAACACCAATAAGACCAACAAGTTGCATTCGCATATCAATCAATCCAGGTGACACCATTTCAACATGACCTAATTTCACTAATTCTAATTTACAATATCAATTCTTATACGCTACTATTTCATGATATAATTAAACATATATTAGTAGAGTCGAGAAAATAAGCTCGTTTCAATAGATTTATTTTTTGATAGGTTAATGATGGGTTAAAACAGATTAGTGTAAAATAAATTTAGATTAGTGGGCCAATCCGTCTAATCCGTCAAACAGAATAAAACAGACTGAATTTTTCAACCCAATTTAAAAAATAAAACGAGACGGATTAACTTATTTTTTGATAAATTAATAACAAAATGTAACGAAATGGAGCGGACCGCCGCCTCTATACATAAGTAGGCACAGCGACCTTTTCTATAGTTTCAGAATTATAAAAGTAGCGTTACCTCTTTTTTTGGTATAACGCGTTACTTGTTTTTGTCTCTATCTTTTCTTCCTTTTCAAAGAACAAAATGGAAATCAAGGGAATTGGAAATAGCACGAGAAGAGTGGAGACTTTTCTTCGGTGGTAAGAGCAACATAGAAGCAGAACAAACAAACGTGTCATCAGAGTTTGGCTCCACATGTTCAGGAGCCTTGTGCTATCCACAAATTAAACCATCCCCACGAAAAGTTTGTCTTTCTAATGTTGAATTAAATAAATAAATGATTCCTTCTCTTCTTTTAATTAATTTTTTTAAAAAACTATTAAAAAATAATTTATTCTGATTATTTTAATTTTGAGTTTACGATTTTACGTGACTTAAAAGTTATTTTATATCCTCATTTTATATCAAATTCTTATTAACATAATCCACGCAATTGATAACTAAGAAAAATATTAATAAAATAAAGTTAGTATTTTAATAAAAAGTGATTTAATTAAATAAATTTATCTTTACTTAAAATTAAAGTTATACAATAGTTTTTTAATTCTTATCTAATAAACCATAACATTGAAAAATAGATTAAAAAAAACGAAAAAAAAACATTGTTTACAAAATGTTTGAAAATGAAAAATTATATAAAAGGTTCCCTTCTTTCATTTTGGTGCTTTATTTGAAGTAGGAAAATTGGAATTGGCATTTTCTAGGTTCAATTTTTTTACTGTTTCTTTCCTTCCTTTGGCATCTCAGAATAATTCTTTAGCATCTGTCCCATATTCCCTGTCCTTCCTTCTCTCTTTATCTCTCTTATTTTCCCTTTCTTCAGGTCTTGCATGGTTCTGCACATACACCACTAGTTCTCCAATATCTACCTTCTTGATCTGTCACTATGGCTTCTTCAGTCGTGAACATCGAAGACGAACAGGTCCTGGCCAATGATTTTCAGGATCTTTCAATCAAGGATCTGGTATATTTTTTCCTTCCTTCTAGCTAATGGGTATGCATTTTTCTTCCTTCTTGTTAATGGGCATGCTTTATTTTATTTAATCTCTGTTTCGATTCTGGTTTGATTGATTGTTCTTGGGATGCCCAATTGGGTTTTGATGTTAAAGTTTCGAAATTTTTTCCTGCTCTAATTGGGATTTTCTTGTTGTGAAATTTGGGTTGTGAAATTGAAATGTTAGAATTGATGATCCTATTGTTGATGATATCATTTTTGATATTGTTGATGTTCAGGGTGAAAAGGGGAGTGAAGCAGAGATTCACCGGGGGGGATTTGGAAATCATGGGGGAATCTGTGCTATTTGTTTGGATAAGATAGTGCTGCAGGAAACTGCTCTTGTAAAAGGTTGCGAGCATGCTTACTGGTTTGTCTAAACGATCTCTTGCTGTTACTTTTAGAATTAAGTTTATGGAAAATGTACTTCCTTGATTATGATGTGTTCATTTTCGAATTGCTTTTGGATTGATTGGGTTTTTCAGTACTAATTGTTGCGCTAGGGACATGGATTAGTACCAATTTCCAAAAAATGATGCCTATCCTTCCTTGAAACTAAATAAAAGACAAACACCATTCTAGATGTTACTTAGTACGTTAACTGTGTCATTATCCTGATGAGTTTGGATTGCTTCATTTAATTGGAGATGGAGTAATTCTCTTTTTTATGTCTGAGCTTGAAACATTACACATGTTTGTAGTTTTTTTATAATTTTTTGTGCTTGATATTTGAGAATCTTTTGAGTCAAGGGTGAACCTGCAGCTTTATTCTCTTTTGTATGTAACTTAGATTTGTGTATCACATCAATTTATGAGTTTGTTGTCAATTTGTCACTAAGTCGAAAAAAAGTATTATATAATTTTAGTTAGTATGTAAATTAAGCATTGTGGATTCTCTCTAGACCTTGATTGGGGGACTCTGATGACTGATGCAAGCAATCATGCATATTCTAAGTTCAGTTAGTATGTAAATTGTTGTAACTCAACTTATTCTGAATTACACTATCATGTCCACATTCTGTCTTTGAGGTAGCATGATCTGTTTACCTGAGTATTTCTTTTGTATGCTTGTCAAGACTGATTGGGATGACTGGATTAAAGGAGTAACTCTCCTTAAAGCTTAAGATGCATGAGCACTTTAGGCTTGAAGCCTGGACAACATACAAGCTCATATTAACATGTGCTGAAATTCAGCTTTTATTTGGAAGAATGGAGGCAACATGGATTGGACTCATGACCGCTTGAGTTTTTGATACAATATCAAGACCAAGCAATTAGGTTGGCTTTGAGATACAATTGTCATCTGAGATGATAGTTGTTTACATTTCAGGTTTACACCTAATAGGCTTCACCCAGCACATAACCAATCCAGACATAACCATTTCTTCTTCTTCTTCTTCTTTCAAGTGATCTGTGATGCTTTTTATCATGGTTCAATTGAAAGTGAAACTATGGAAGATATCAAACTCACATGGAGGAGGCATCAAGAGTTGTCTGTAATTGTGTGGGTTCCATGCTACATATCTTCTAGAGAAGTGGAAAGTGGAAACTAGTTGCCTGGTTGGCAATTGTAGTCATTGTTTGCCAACGGAGATTGGGTCACCTTGTCAACCTTCTACTCATGACTGTGGAAAGCCTCCCCTTGCCCTAAATTTTATATATCCAAAAAAAAAAAAAAAAAACAAAATTGTAGCCATTGTTTTAGGAGGAAATCTTTAAGTCAAGTAACTATTTATGGAGTTCAAAAAATTAATGTGATATAATAATTAGTGAGATATTTTCTCCTTCTGATATAAGTGATGTTCTGATGTATATTTGTTGAGTTTACTTGAATTATAATTTTTTTTGTTACGTTTACTACTATTGAAATGACTGTGTTGGACTTCTGAGGTTCAGAGATGATTCTTGTGTGATGTGTGTTCTGTACTTTGTGTTTACAAGATTTTACTTGATTTTCTGTAGTGTAATATGCATCCTTCGCTGGGCCTCATACAATCCGAAAGTTACCTGCCCTCAATGTAAACATCCATTTGAATTCCTCAATGTCCATCGCTCACTCGATGGGAGGTAATAATTGCGCTTTTTGCTTTGATTTATCTTTCTAATTTAGTTCACGCTACTTCTGTTAAAATGTGAGTAGAAAGAGGTCATGCTATTTTTGTATAGTAGGATCAGCTACATCAATCAATTGAAGCCATTGTGGTTCTATCAGTAACTAAATTTTAAGTTTTACTGGTCGACTGGAAAATATTGCCGAATAGGTTGGAAACATGGCACTGGTAGCCAATGATTTGGGTCTAAGGGCACTTTCTCCTTCTTTAGCATGAAAGTCTTTCATTGTAATCAACAACTAAAGGATGTCAAAGATGGATTAGAAATTTGTGATTTCATTTTTGGTAATACTTGGGCTTTTAATGTCGGGGTTTTTATCTGTTTGAAATTAGATTACTCTGTTCTCAGGTTTCCTGATCACTAAGTAATATGTTTGGAGGCTGCTTAGCTTCCTAGGTTACCAATTTAATATAAGTTTGAATCCTAAATTGGTTTGGACTCCAAAAATGAAATGATGTGGATTTCGGGATATTAGCAATCTTGTTTTAAACATGACAGTTTATTTTTTTCTTTTTGTCAAAATTTTCAGCTCCTTTAGTTATGTACCATAAAATAATACCAACGGTTGGTACATGAACTTTAAGTACTAGTAACTAGGGTGTAACAAAATGCCAAAATAATTCAGCATGCGAAACTACTAAATTTGCAATATCTAGTTAGGCCGAATGAGGTATATGACATTTTAGAGTTGAAATATTGCATTAAAATTTCTCTTTTGACAATCATTTTATACTGTGACAGTCTTCAAGATTACATGTTCGAGGAAAGTGTTTGCTTACTACTTCGGGCCTCATGGTTCAAACCGTTAACTGTTGAGGGTCATGTAGAACATGAAGATGTCTATGAATACGTTGAAGATTTCTATGAAGACGAGGATGAGGATGATGACATAGATGAAGCTTACTATGGCGGTTCATCAAGTTTTCGCATTGGAAACCGCAGATGGGGAGACAATGGTTATGTTAGGGCTGGGCGTCAAGAAGCTCGGCCGGTTCACCGGCCAAACTTCCAAGATTCAGGAGCAAGTTCATCGCGCGAGCCGAAGAAGAAAGAGGCTGGGAAAAGTGTAACAGGAAGACGAGCAAAGAGGGCACTGAAAAGGGAAGCTGCTGATAAGGCAGCTGAAGCAAAGCATCAGCAGCATTTGATAAGGTTGGGTAGGAAGTGATTTTAATTTATGTCAAGCCGGGCCTTGAAATCCCTTTCCCATAAAGTTATATATTTTCTCTTTCTACCTTTACATGTCTTTTTTCTTGTACAGTGTTTCTGTGCTTCTTACCCTGAAGCATGTAATTATAATGTGGGAAAGATGCTTTAGAATAATGGCTTGGTGTAGGTAGGTGGTTGGTTCTTTGGGTGTATGGTTGATGGAATTCCTAACTCATTTAGCATTGAACAATTTAGGTTTTCAATTAGTTGTTAAATGCAGTTAAAGTTGTACATAATTTCTATGTGATGATCTTGACACCCTTATGAATCAATGATGTTGATGTCTGTCTCTTTTCTCAAAGTAAGGAAACTTGGACTCTTTTAAGTAATCAATCACGCCAAACTGTAGCCTTTAAGTAAATTAAACATGCCCCTTTTATTTTTAACCGTCTCAATTAATTAGGAAGTACTCAACGCGCTAAGCATTAATAAATTATTATTGTCATTATAAGAAAGGAATGAGCATTATCTATAAGATAATAGAAAGATGCAGCCGCGTGATTACAATGAAAAATTTGCGAGTAGCTTTTTACGTGTCAAACTACTCCATTTCAGTAAAATGTTATTTTTAGAATTTTTTTTTGAAAATATTTTTTTAGAATTCTTATTTAGTTCTTTTCCTTAATAATATATTTGTGATTATAATAATCAAAATTCAATACGGCTGATTTTGAAGACAATATTTATTCGTGACTATAGCCAAAAGGAACCACGTATTCAACATAGTCAATTATTAACAACAAATTCTACAATTCGATTTTTAGTCTTTAAATTGTGACACGTGATTCATGAAAAGACCTTTTAGTTTTATTTAATTTTTTGGCGTTTTTCTCAAGAAAACTAGCCATGATAGAAATGAGGTATTATACATTTCAAACGATGTTAACGACGTAAGTTCTTATTAGTTGGCATTATCATATTATGCCCATGACTAACATGAAAAGGAACTCACTTCTGTTCAAATTAAGGAATAAAAAGACTAGGGTTCAAATAGATAAGTATTTTTTAAGGGGTCAAAATAAGAAAAGAAATAGGGTTTAAATGGAGAAGTGTTTTTTAAGGGGTAAAAAAAACTCGGTTGAGAAATAAGCATGACTCTTTTGGGGTGTTTGGTATGGGTATTTGGTATGGAATGATAGGAAAGTGGAGTAGAGAATATTTAATTATCATGTTTGGAATGGATATTGTGAAAAAAATCTCAGCAAATAATTTCATCAGGTATTTCATTTTTCAACTACACAAAGACAAATAATTATTCTATTGATCTTTTGGTAATTTTTTTTTTTTTTCCCTAGGGTCTTAGATTCTGAATATAATATTTTGAGTCAAATAATTATTCCATTAATATTTTATCATCAACCAAACATAGCATCAGTAAAATGAACCCAACTTAAGGTTTAATATTTGAGAAATAAGCATATGATTCTTTTAGGGTGTGTTTGGTTGGAGAAATTTTTTGGGATGCTCGGGAAAGTGAGGGTGGGTATCCAAAAATACCATATTTGGTAGCACTTTTAAAAAAGGAAAAAATGTGTGTCATTTTAAATAACACAACTTTGTATCCTTTCACTCTCACAAAGAGATGGGAACAACAACCAAAATGCCACACTATTCATAAAAAATTACCTGAATGCCACAGACTGGAATTTTTTTTCCAAAATGCCACATCACCTAACTCGCTACAACACCTGTCGAGTTAGGTATGGACACATGGCAGCAGGTTCATGGCCACGTAAGCTGTTGCACAATGCAGCGAGATTACGTGGCAAACAGGTTCTGGCACAGCTTGCCATGCAGTATAAAACGCTAGGTGTAACACCCCGTGTGCACCCGGTGTATTAAACATACATAAGGTAATGGCGCAGCTAAATAAATGCAGAAGCTAATTTTTTCTTTCCAATTATGTACTTATCATTATTAACCAAGTGGACGAATTATTCATTTTCCAAAATTATCGCCTGTATGTAAATTGCAATAAATTACTACTGAATAACCTCATAGTATAAATAACTGTGCATCTAGTCACGGAACTACAACATGTAGGCCGGACAATATCCTGATACATTATACAACTCAAGTAACTCAAACATGACTGATATCAATGTGGCATGGACAACCCCCATGCTCACCAAATAAGGCAACAGAGCCACCCAAAGTCTCAGGTCATATTACATTATACTGAACATAAAACATAATCACTATCTGAACATGGCAGTAAAACAACATGTATAATCAGCTCAACTCAACTCTGGCCTCCTGCCGCTAGAGGTATCAACCCCGAGGTACCTGTACCTGAAAATGTGCCTCAACACGGGGTGAGATCTCTAAAAAGAAATCTCAGTAAGACAAGGGGTCCTCAAGGATCTCTCTACCCCAAGCTCACTTACATGTGCAATATAAGTTTCAAAACTGTATCAACAATATAATTTCCAAAACTTGTGCAATGCAGCATATATCCATGTCATGTGTGTATAATCCTACTGGCCAGAGAATAAAAATATAGGGATTACATACGTCTACAACCTACAGTACAAGGAACACCACTTGCACCTCACCCACGGAGTTGCCATCTTGTATGTCTCCACATACTCAGGATTACCGTCTAGGTGGTACACCACATAAATATCATATGGCACTTGCACTCAATAAAACAGCTCAATAGCATATCAAGAATCATCATTTATTTTCATAAAAAACACAGCATGCATATAACCACCCTTCCATGAGGTATGATGGAACCAATAATGGGCAAAGAGGACACGAAAGCTTACCTCGCAAGCTAACAATCCAAACTCAAGAGTCCACACCAGCCCACGGTCACCAAACAGCACACTCACAGTCTGTTTATAACGGAAACATCATCAACATTCATCATCTAGAATTTTATTTCATAACAATAATGTTTCCTCTTTCGTTTCATGCCATTAGGCTTCTCCCAGAGCCATAAGCCTTTAATTTAAGTGATTCTGACTTAGTTAACTTAATACAGAGGTTCATATAATCCAACGTAGGATCCTTAATCCAAACCCACGCTTCTGTTTGGACAGAACAGGTCCATCCACGAAATTTCCTAGAATATCCGGATATTTCACTAGGTCATATCCGGATATCACAAACCCCATATCCAGATATTTCACGACAGAATGCAGTTTCTGCATTTCGCGAAGATATCCCTCCAAGGTTCCATTTTTAACACTTCTACACGTTCAAGAATTCATTTTTAGACATATTTAGACCAGTGCTCATGCTAGTTACTTAATCATCTCATTTAACATGCCAAAACTTAACCTTTAACATAGAAAACGCATGAATAAAGGTGGTGATGCATACCAATGGCTCAAAACAAACCAAAGGAGGTGGCTTGGAGTTTTATATACTACTCCACACTACTGCCAATGTAGAACCACGAAAATGAGCAATAAGCTAGGTCATTTCTCTATCAAAATGGCTTCTTGGATCAACACAGACAAAGAAAATGACTCCCACTCTACTAAAACAGTGAATTCAGCCCACACACACTCAACTCAGTGGCTGAAACAACTCAGAATGTGGTGTCCCTCTACCTCCTAAGACTTGCTCACAACATCTACGGTGATTAAATGAAGAAACTTGGAAGAAAAATGACCACTTGGCTCACAAGATGAAGATGGGAAGGTGACAAGTTGGAGGCCACTAAGTTTCAGAAATGGAGGCACGTAGGAAATAAGGATTCTGACCTAGAAACTTGTGCCTCACCTATTTATATGTGTCTTAAGTTTTAATCCCTCGGTATTAGCGCTAATAGCTCCGCTAATCATTTTACTCTCAAACTTTGTATTCTGAACCTAGCCATTTTTCTAGGATTTGTCATATTTTTATTATAATTTTCGTAGCACTTTTCCGGTACGCGTTTTTACGTAGCTGGTATTAGTCTTGAAATCAGTTCTCATTATTTTGACTCCAAACTTGATATATCAGTCCTAGATATTATTCTAGGAATATTCACATACTTATTATAATTTTTTAGGATACTTCATCGGTACGCAATTATACCGAGAAGCAAAACCGATATCTGCACTTTTCATCAGAAAAACGACTTTCAGCGTTATTAAACCCTTGTGATAATTATTCTAACCTTACCATATTTATTTAAGGTCACTTATGGAATTATTTACTAAATTCATAATTAATTATTTAAATTTATAATTTAACGGTGCAGGTTCTTACACTAGGCAGCTTGGCGTTTACGTGTCTGACACGTGTCAAACTCGCTATGCTGCATAACATATTATGTGTAAATAGTCCAGTTGTCCAGTATTTTTGGTCTAGTAAATTAACCACTTCCCTTCTCATTTCTTGCATCATTGTGGTCTAATAAATTATAGGATAATTTAATTATTGAATTTTGTATTTTGAAATAAAATGATTTAAGGAAAATTAATATTGGTTTGAATATTTTATTTTTAATTAAATAATGTTAAAATAATTTAATATAGAACTGTTAATTTAATTTATGTGTGTTAATTAATATAATTTCATGTAGGAATATTAATTAGTTTAATTTAGTTTGGTTTATGTTAAGTTAAATTATTTTTAACTGTTAAGTAACTTAATTTAATTTAGGAGTGTTAATGAATTAAATTAAATTTATGTTTGTTGATTAATTTAGTTTAATTTTGTCTATATTAAACTAAATTTATGTCCGTTAACTAAACTAAACTAAATTAATATAGACAAAATTAAACTAAATTAATCAACAAACATAAATTTAGTTTAATTCATTGACGTTCCTAAACTAAATTAAATTACTTAACAGTTCAAATTTTTTAACTTAACATAAATTAAATTAAATTAAATTAATTAACACTACTAAAAATAATTAATTAACAGTTCTAAATTAATTTAAAATAATATAGACAAAATTAAACTAAATTAATTAAAAAAATTTAATTAAATTTAATTCATTAACACTCCTAAATTAAATTAAATTAAATTAAATTACTTAACAGTTCAAAAAAATTTAACTTAACATAAATTAAATTAAATAAAATTAAGTAACGCTCTTAAAAATAATTAATTAACAGTTCTAAAATAATTTAAATTAATATAGATAAAATTAAACAAAATTAATTAAAAATGTAAATTTATTTTAATTCATTAACACTCCTAAATTAAATTAAATTACTTGACAGTTAAAAAAAATTTAACTTAACATTAACTAAATTAAATTAAATTAATTAACACTCCTACATCAAATTAAATTAATTAACACCCATAAATTATATTAAATTAA